TCCCCCTCCTTATATGCAAATATGCATTTAAACAGAAGGCCATTATTGAAATGGTATTTCTAGTAAATGGAAAGAGGTGACAATTTTGGCAAGTCCATAAAGAGAAAATTCTCTTTTTTTCTTTTCCCTCTGTGCGTAGGATGAATCCTTCTTTCTTAAATGAATATCTGCAATTTTCATTGCATGTATTTTTTTAAAAAACCATTCGGTATTTGAATTTTACTGATCCGACTAATTCAAATTCGAGTGAAAATAGTATGAGTTAGCCAGTTTTTGGACTGGTAATATCAGTGTTTGCAAAATCATTGAAAGTAGCCACTATTTTACTGCAACACGAAAAGTTCTAACAGAATATACTAGAGATTGGTGCACCCGTATATGAACTTCCAACACATTATGCTGGAACTCCAATTCACGGAAATGTCCAGTATAATATACTAGAGATTGGAGCACGTGTATATGAATTGTTGCGGTGTATTATACTAGAACTCCAGTATATTATGCTAGAATATATTTCGAATTTTTTCGTTTAAATTTATCTTTACGTGAAAAATGGTTGAAATTAAATTACTTTTGAAATTGTGACTATTTTTCAGTTACCGCTCGTAAAAGTGAATGAATTTCAAATTCGGCCACCTAAGACCCAATTAAGAGGACATTCTCTGCAAGAATTTCTCCATTTAAAGTCAAACCAATCAACTAAAATCATGAATTTGCGTTATCAGCTCTTTAACCATTGTATCATTGAGCGATGACGTGGCACCCCATGGCATTTTCCTCTCCTATGTCACTAGTTCACATCATTTACATATTTTTATTCGCACGTTTTGATTTTTCACGCCCTTAAGAAATAATAAATAAATTATATAATTTATCGTGATACTCATATTAATTTATGTATATTTTATTAGATTTGAAAAAATAATTTAAAATTAATGATAAATAGTGTAGGTATAACATGAAAAAAATATTTATCTTTTTTTGATATGCGTAAAGTGACAAGTAAAATAAAAATCTATTTTTAATATACCTTCAAAGTAAAAGTTAACAGAGGGAGTAATAAAAAGACTAAATCAAACCTAAACCAATTATAAGTGTTTTTTTTGGCTTTTTTTTTGGACCAAAATAAGTAATTTTTTCAGATTTTAAGAATGAATTAATTATTTTTTTTATAGATTACCCTTGGAGTAAATAATGTTGGAGTATATGTTAGGAGTGTTAATGTGAAAAGATGGTAAAAGTTAATATTGTCAATTTCATTACTAATTAATTTTAAAATATAAATTTCTTATTTCTTAATATATGTAAAAATACTAAAAAATCACTTATTTTGAATCGGATGGAGCATAGAGAAATAATCCCTTATTCTATATGGTACCAATTCAAAGTTTTTTACATAATTGATGAACAAATTGTGATAGTTGCAATTACAATTTACTTTGGTCATCCTTTGTTATTTCCAATATTAATTAACACTATAAAGTCTTTTTTGGAGTCACCACCAATACAAACAATTTCCTACTACTAAATGCATTAAATTTATTCTCAATCCTTATCTTATAAGTAATTTTTTTAGTTTTGGCTTTTGTGTTGTGAACAATTATTAACTTTGTTGCTTATCTTTTTTCCTATGTTTTCTTCTTAAAAATAACATCCTTAAATAATAATATTTTTTTATAAAAATTAAGTTTTTTTGGAGTCAATTTTTATGTTATGTTATAATATATATTTTTTTTATAATAATACTTCATTATATGTACACGTGTCGCACGGTATTTTATCCTTTAATTTCTTTTAAAATCGTTATTATAATATTAGTGATAAAGAAAAAATAAAAGAATCGCCATTTCCTCCTATTATTATGGGAATCCGTTATCACGGGTTATAATATCCTTATTAGCCGGATTTCATGTGTATTTTTTTCTTTTTTAAAGACGGTGAAAATCAATTTATTTTTCTTAAAATAATCTCAACATTTTTATTGAGAGTCGCTCTCTGAGACGTCTAAATAGTCTCTTATTTGATCAATGGCCACGCGACACGTGTATAAATATTATATATTCATAAAAAATACTATGTATTATAATACATGATTTTGATTGGCAATTTGTATCTTATTAAGAAAGAGCTATATCCGTTTCATATTAATAGTCGTTGTTACTAAAAATAGTTGTCTCAAATTATTTGTTATTTTGAAAATTTAAGACGAAATTGATTATTTTTTTCTTTTTTTACCCTTAGTAATAATTGTTCTTGAATATTGGATAACACATAAATAGAATAAATATTCAATAAAGGGAGATTATATTTTATAACATAAATAAAGGTACAATAGTCCAATTTCTTTGCTAATTAATATTTCTTAAAGGATGTGTAAAAGAGAAATACGATATATGATATGAGACGGAGGGAGTATTATTTTCTAATCTCTATATAGGATAAGGATTGACTAACTGTAATTAATCTAGTAACTTTTTGCAATTTTTATTTTTGTCTAATTCTACACTAATTAGAATTTATTACTAGTCCATTTGAAATTATTATAGTGGTAAAAACAATTAGTGTTAATTTATTAAAATTACAATCCTACAAGGATTTTAAACTAAAGGAGAAACATATCACAAAATCCTCAACTGATTTGACTCAAATATCTTTTTTATACTCTTCCCTTTTTGACTTCGGTTACTACATTTATATTTATATATTTATATATTTATATTTATATTTATATATATATATCCATTCCTTCAATTTATATCTAATTATTCTTTCTTATCAACGAAGTTGAAAAACAGGTCGTGGGGTTTGGACTCTTTGAGAAAAAGACCACTGAAGTTGAGAATTTCACTTAGGTATTGATTTTCTGTTTTCTTTTATTTTTCAAGTTTGGTTTTGCATGAAAATTATACTGTTTTTTTTTCTTTCTTGTTTTAATTCTCAATCTCAATTGTCATTGTTTTTTTTAATCTTATAAATTTTATTCTTAAGTTTCTACATTTTTTTTTGTTGAATTCTGCATGATGGTATAATTTATTTTCTTTGATCTGATTTTTTTTATCGGCATTCTTGTTTATTCTCTAGATATTAATATTAATATTAATGATGTGAAATTGTGAATGGTCATTCTATATATAAAAAAAATTATGTTTCTATATGGGATTAATTTTTGATGTATTAAGTGGATACTGGATTCTTGATTTGACAATAGAATCAATGGTTGCTTTTGTTATAAATAATAAAACAGTGACAATTTATGTTTCTGTATATATAGAACTGGTATTTGCCTTTTGTTTTTGCCTTGTTAAGACAATTTGGCATATGAAACTGTCTAAATCAGTATATCCATTGTACAAATTGGTTAATTTTTTGTGCTAAAGTTGGTTCCTTTTTTGTTCCAGAATCAATTCATCTTTCCTCAATTTTTAGTATTAATTAGCATATCAAGAATATCGGAAGCAGTTTCTCTGCCCTTTCAGGGTAAGGGTAAGACTGTGTACATCCTACCCTCCCCAGACCCCACTTGTTGGATTATACTAGGTGGTTGTAATTAAAATATCAAGAATCTTTCTTTTTGGTCCTAGTGCTACTTTTTTGCAATTTGTATTAATGAATGTATTTGATCCTCAAGCAACTTGGATGAAAATTGTATTGGATAATGAATGTGATTTAGATTAAAAAGGCAAGTCCTTTGTTGTTGGCAGGTAATTTGCTGTGAAGATTTCTCTTGTGAATTCATTTTAAGCATAGCAGAAAACTAGATTGATACCGGGATACTATGGAAGGCGGTCCTCACAAAGCTGATAAGACGGAGTTTACAGAATGTTGGAGGACGTCATGGAAAACGCCTTACATCATGCGTCTCGCCTTTTCTGCTGGCATTGGAGGGTTGCTGTTTGGTTATGATACCGGTAAATGACAACTGCTTTTAATATCAGCCTTTGTGATTAGACCAGATGGCTCGACACTATGTTGTCGATAAAACCTTTATCGTTAAATTGCAGTGATAAGATGTAAATTAATGTTAAGTTCAGTATTAATGAAGTTTCTTTGTTGCTTATTAATTTTAAATTTTGGCTGTATGTGATTTTCTTGCAAACAAGGTGTCATTTCTGGTGCATTGCTTTATATTCGGGATGATTTCAAAGCCGTTGATAGGCATACTTGGTTGCAAGTAAGTGATTTACTCTGCTTTATATATCAATTCAGTTTGATCATATGTGAAAACAGAATAACATGTTTTTTTCAAAACAATGTAGGAAACCATAGTAAGCATGGCGGTTGCAGGAGCAATTTTTGGAGCAGGATTTGGTGGCTGGTTTAATGACAAATACGGTCGGAGAAAATCAATTCTTTTAGCAGATATCTTGTTCTTTATTGGTGCAATCGTTATGTCAGTTGCGCCAGCACCGTGGGTGATAATTATTGGAAGAGTTCTTGTCGGTTTAGGAGTTGGAATGGCTTCCATGACATCTCCACTTTATATCTCAGAAGCTTCCCCAGCTCGGATTAGAGGAGCTTTAGTTAGCACGAATGGTCTGTTAATTACGGGTGGACAGTTTCTATCTTATCTTATCAACTTAGCATTTACCAGGGTAATACATCTTGAAACCTTTTTGCTTTTTTTTTAATCCGATTGGAGTTGTTTATATCATTTTGAATGTTAACTGATTTTTGTGAATACTATTAGACCAAAGGAACTTGGCGATGGATGCTGGGGGTAGCTGGACTTCCTGCTTTGATTCAATTTATCCTAATGCTATCTCTCCCTGAGTCACCTCGATGGTTGTATAGAGAGGTACGGCGATTGCCTGTTTAATTCTCTTTTTAGCAGAAAATTTGAAGAGTCTTTCATCTGGTAGATTCTCTCATTGCCTTAATTAATTGTCCGTGTCTTTGACCTTTTGTGCAGAACAAAAAAGACGAAGCTAGGGCTATATTAGAGAAGATATATCCGGCTCATGAAGTTGAAGATGAAATGAAAGCTTTGGAGATTTCCATTGAAGCAGAGAAGGCTGATACTCAATTCCTTGGAGCGGGTATTTTCTCAAAAGTCAAGAGTGCTTGGAGCAACACTGTTGTTCGTCGTGGTCTCTATGCTGGTATTACTGTCCAAGTGGCACAACAATTTGTTGGAATAAACACGGTCATGTATTACAGTCCGACGATTGTACAACTGGCTGGATTTGCTTCTAACAAGACAGCTTTAGCGCTCTCGCTCATAACATCTGGTCTCAATGCTGTCGGTTCTATTGTGAGTATGTGCTTTGTCGACAGATTCGGGAGGAGGAGGTTGATGATTGTCTCCATGTTTGGTATCATAGCATGCCTAGTAGTATTGTCTGTTCTTTTCATGCAAGCTTCTTCACATGCCCCGCCGATTAGTGCCTTTGAATCCAATCACTTTGGATCAAATTCCACATGCTCAGCATTTCTAAAAGCTCCCGATGCATCTTCCTGGAACTGTATGAGTTGCTTGCAGTCCTCCTCAGATTGTGCTTTCTGCTCTAATGGAGACAACAAAGTAAGTTTTGTTGGTTTTACGTCCTCATTGACGCATTTATTAACTAATTCCCCTTTTGTATTATTGTCAAATCCTTGGTATGTATATCCAAATCAGTACCGCAGTATGCATTTTTAGTAACAGAGAAACCTTATACCCTGAGGTGCCATTCGACATTCCTTTGCCGAAAAATTCTACTATTTCATATAGGGTGTTATAATATTTTTCTAACTAACAGTATGTTTCTATACAATACACCAAAATATACAAAGTAAATGTCAATTTGAGACATGAAGTAAAGGTTTAGAACCCATCAATCCCAAACTCAAACCGGCCTACAACTCAAGTTGTGACAATAGGCAGACATTGCTTACACTAAATCTTGCGTTTGCCATTGTGCGCTTTAGTTTTTCTCCTTATAGCATTACTTGTCATTGTTAGCTTTTTATTCTCTTTTTTGCGTATTTAGTATTGGTATTGGCAGTAACTTTCTTTGGTTCAGTATCATCCCGGTGCATGCTTGTCTCTAAATGATGATGTTAGAGGTTTATGCCGATCAGAAAAGCGTGCATGGTACACAAAAGGTTGTCCTAGCAAGTTCGGGTTCTTTGCAGTGTTGCTTCTCGGACTGTACATCATATCTTACTCTCCGGGAATGGGAACAGCACCTTGGATCGTCAACTCTGAGATATACCCCTTAAGATACAGAGGCATTGGTGGAGGTATAGCGGCCGTTTCTAATTGGGTATCTAATCTTATAGTGAGCGAGTCGTTCTTGACTTTAACGGAGGCAATTGGTTCTGCTGGTACATTCCTTTTGTTTGCTGGATTCTCTGCAATCGGCTTAGTCGCCATATTCTTTCTGGTACCCGAAACGAAAGGCCTGCAATTTGAGGAAGTTGAGAAGATGCTTGAGAAAGGCTATAAACCGAAGTTATTTCGCAAGAAAACTAGCGAAAAGACAGCAGATGCAAGCTAAGTTCAAGTCAGTGTGACATTTTTTGCTGGTAATTTGTCCCATATTTATAGATTATGGCGAAAAATAAGCTCTACTGCAACATGAAAGTGAAGGTCTCTGATTGTCAAGATACTGTTTTATAGTCTTTTATAATGTAGATGATCAGAGAGTAGAACATTTTGGTTTTTCAATTAGACATTTCAAATGCCAAAGTGACATTTTGTTTTATCTTCTCTAGATATCTTTGCTTCGCTTAATATCTTCTTGTTGTTACAGTCAAATCTCTCTATAACAACCTCATTTGTTCTGATAATAATTAGTTCCGAGAAAAGCTCGGAGAGGTCGTACTATACTATTTGTTGCCATTACTTATTTTCTTTTTTGTAGCCGATTGTTTATTGGCGATAAATAATCTCTTTACCTTCTTAGGGTAAGAGAAGTTTCTTCAGCCGCGTTTCCTTTTTGGGCCTGATTTGTAAGTCTCACCCTCTCATTTTTAGTTTTATGACTCTACCTATTTTTTAGAGAAATTTTTAGTAATGACTATTGTTTAGTGGTTATTAATTTACTATAGCTTCCATATACTTAATTACTTTCCGTAACTACCTTTTAGTTGTTATGGTAATGTATTCGATGTATTCGAGCTACCGTATTCATTAATAAAATAGAAAAAATCGGCTAAAAAATAAGACAATCCCGCTGTTAGCTGTTGTATTCACATGTATTCATGAATACAAAATGACAATCTACGTAGTTATAGGTCTCTATGGTTGTTTAATAACGGAAAGTTACTAATTTAACGGGATTAGCTCCTAATATAACTCACCTAAATCAGTTTAACACACAACATTAACAAACCAATTAACAAGAAGATTTATTATAAACACCAAAAATAGAGAATTCTTCAGAGTTTTAGTCCCTCTTTTTTTTTCCTGATACAGTTCGAGTTTTTTTTCCTGACATTGTTCGAGATTCTGCTCGAAATTGATACAAGTATCTACAGAAATATTTTGAAATTCGATTTTCTGTATATGAATACATCATGTATTATGCTGGACACAACCTGTAGTAGTAACCTATTGCCTGCATATTTCATAATAAATCTAGTGCTTGAATTATGTTTTATCTAACAGTTGTGTTCCATGTTTCAAGTTTATTTTTGTATTCATAATATTTAAATTTATTCATAAAACATGGTATTACTGCTTACTTCGATATATTTCATTGGTTGTGTTCATTGATTTTGTATTTGTATTGAGAGTATTTCATTTTATTGTTGTTTTAAATACAGATAGATACAATTAGGTTGAAAATACAGATGAATACAGTTAGATTGAATGCATAATTAATTGATGAATAACATAAAAATGATAAAATTAACAATATATTTAAAAATGTTGTTGTATGAACTCAAATACATCTATATACAACATTCAAAAATCACTGTACAAAATAAAAATCAGGGTATGCCTTATCCAATACATATAAATACATCTAAATACAAGAAGAGAAAACCATTGTACAAACTAAAAATCAATGTATGCCTTATCGAATACATATAAATATATCTAAAATACAAGAAGAGAAAACCATTGTACAAACTAAAAATCAATGTATGCGGACTCGAATACATATAAATACATCTACAATTAGGGTCATTGCGTATTTTTATTCTCCTTTCGGCTTCAATGGTTACTGATGGACCTGCAAATACATGTTACTCTTGAGTGATTTGCAAATCGAAATATGGCCCTTCAAAATTGAGTACTTTACTGGTATTCTGCAGAAAATATAACAGTGGTGAATATTTACAAAAAACTGTTGAAGAGAAAAGGAAGAAGCTTTAACCGGACAAAAACCGAAAATAACACTTTCCACAACTTTTTGGAGGAAAAAAAGTTAAAAATGGAAAGAGACAATGGCTTTAACTGGCCAAAAGCCAAAAACATTAACACTTACCATAATTTTTTGAAGCAAAAAAATTGAAAATTGAGGAAGACAATAGTGGTTTCTGAGAATCGTGGTTTAACAATGAGAAAGATAATGGCGATGTGAGAGAGAGATCGTGGAGAGAAAAATAAGATACTATGAGTTAATTTTGGAATAGAATAACGGTAATAAAGAGAGAAAATTATTAAACACCGTATTTAATGGCTTAACTATAGTGTATATCATAAATACATATTTTGCTATAAAAACTAAAAGGTAGCTATAGACAATAATATTTTAAAAAGTTTTTATTTATAATAATTAGGGTGTAAAAGTTTGCTATAGGAGGTAAAATTTCTCTTTTGATTACACATGGGAGATTTATTTTTACACGTAAGAAATCTATCTTTTACACATAAGAGATCTAATTTATAGTCAAGCAAGCCTTTCACCTGGCTCAACACAGAAAAAAGCATCAGTTAGGCCTCTCTCTTTGTTTCGATGAAAACCTTAACGCTCGCGTCCTACTGGAAACTTTTTTGACTATTTACCTTCATCAAAACCGGAAGCAAAGAACGAAAACTCCAAAATTAGTAAATAAAGGTGCATGGTGTTGTGGAATTAGACAATAACACCAACATTTATGTTTATTTTCAAACAAAATGATAGAAAAAATTGAAAGATATAGAGGGAAAAACATCAAGATAAATGACAAGCTGTTGTGCCAGCTAATGGGATTCATAAAAGGGACAATAGCTACGATTTTTTTTTAACCAAACAAGGGTAATCTGTCGTGAGGTTGGTGGCTGCCATTATCATATTCTATATAATCTCTGTACATTGCACTAAAACTAGAGGTGTTAATCGGGTCGGGCTGATCGTTAACAATCCGGTTTAATCCGAGTTAGCCCGGTTCAGCCCGATAATGTAGCAAAAATAGCGGGCTGAGATGGGTTGGACAAATAACGGGCTTTAAACGTACATATTTTGAAAAACGGTGCACCGAACCCGCTATAACCCGTTTCAGCCCGTTAACCTGTTAATTTAATTAAAAAACTATCAATAACATTGAAAAAGAAAAATATAATTTAATTAAAAAAAATAGCCCGTACGGGTTCGAGCTCGTTAAGCCCGTACGGGTTCGAGCTCGTTAAGCCCGAACCCGTACGGGTCCTATAAAACCCGAAAATTCCCAGCCCGCCACCAGCTCGTTAACAGCCCGATCCATTACCGAACGGACTGACATTTTTTGTGTCCAGCCCGTCCCAGCCCGCCCGTTAAACACCTATAACTAAAACCCTTTCTTTGTAGGACCTACCCTACACCACCTTTAATCCCCTTTTACCACAAAAAGTAGTATTGATATTTATCGAGTCGGATTTAAGATTTTAAGAGGATGAGTGTACTGTGAAGAAGTGTATTTAGAATTTATATTTGACGGGTTTAACTTTAGTTCTCTTACCATGAAACCACTGTACTTTTGAAATTATATGTTCAAAATTATATTATTTTTGAAAATTTAGTAATTTTCACATATATATCTATATTTTGTGCGAAATCAAGACCGTTCAGAGTGAAATTTGAACTGTTAATTTTACTTGTAGTGGTGCACCCAACAATACTTGCACCATAGGAGTCTTTGAGCATGGGTTCACGCGCATATATTTAAGTAATTTTAAAGAAATATTACATTATTGTACATAATTTTGGGAGAGGAGTATGAGTTCACGTGAACCCATATCTATAAATATGGATACGCCTTTGAATGATTACCCGTCATGTTGATCGAATTCTCCAAAAATAACCTTAGTATCATAATCGACAGTAGCTAATATAATGGTAGAGCTAAAAGTATTAGATTTTGATTAGAGCTAAAAGTTTTAGTAAATGCTAAATTAGATTTTGAACCCACGGTTTTAAAAATATACAACAACAATCAAAAAAATTCAGTGTAATCTCAAAAGTGGAGTCTGGGAGGGTAATATCTACAAATCTTACCCCCTACCTTAGGAAGGTAAAGATGATGTTTTCAGTAGACCCTCGGCTCAAGGAATAATAAAAATAAAGCGACAAGCAATAGCAACAACAAGGTAATAAGATATATAACATAAGCGAATGACACAATATATATAATAAAGAAGACTAGGATAAGAAAATACAAAAACATAATTTTAAAAGTATAGTGAATTTATGCTTAAAAATTTTAAAAATTGAATCCAATAAATTAAAATCTTGGATATAAATCTTTAACACAAATATCGCATTTTTGAAGGATTCAAGCAGCATATATTATAACACAAAGGCAATGAAAGTGAAGAGCAAATTAATAGCAACTGTGATTACCTATGAGGATAAAATCAATCAATTAGGAAGGCTTAATTTCAATATTATACTTACTCCCTTTTAGTATATAGTCCACCGTCCAAAAATAAAAGACTAGGTCAATCAATTAATTTTGCATATACAGTCAAACATTTTTATGACGGCTAGTGGCGAAGCCAAAAGATTCAATAAGAACGTTCAAATTTTAAAGACACACTTTACGAGCGGGCTATGCAAAGGTGTTCAACGTCTATTTTTAATCAATAACAAGTAATATTTTACCTTATACGTAGTATAATTTTTCGGCGAAGGGTAGTCAGCTGACCACCTTTGAGCCAACATAACTTCGCCTCTGAAACAGCCTCGTCTGTTCCGAATATTTTTGGATGTTATCGCGAAATGTTGTTATATAGAACATATATACATCATAACATGAAAATTGGTTCAGGAAAAAACATAACCTTTATAGTGAAATGTTGTTATATAGAAATGCTGTTATAAAGAAGTTTGACTGTACTTTTGTTTTATTTGGACCAGCTGGTATCAGGTTTAATGGTTCAAATGCACCTCAGAGAGTTAGGAGGGAGAAACCTATTCGCACCTAATATTTATACCAAACTAGTGAATTTAAACCATGCATCTCTATATCAATATTAGCAGAGAAATTATGGGTTCATGTGCCGCATAAACTATCCTGTAAATCTGGCCGTGAACGCCTACTCCTTCGACGCGCCATTGCCAAAAGGAATGGTGCTTAGAAAAGGGATATGGCAAAATGCAAGAATTTAACATGTAGCGTCATCGTAATACTTGTTACACCTTAAGGTGGCAAAATGGTTAAAAGAAAACAGTTATCCTTCCATATTATCCATCAAAAAATGGGTTAGATAATAAACCATTTTAAAACGGATCGAATATGGATAAAGAACCATATTATCCACTTAGAAAATGGTTAACCAAATTGATAACCAATGGATAACTAATGTGTTTAACTTCTACATTTGTAAAGCCTCAAATTGGAGTTCCTCAAGTTTAGAAGACTAGGAATTCTCATAAGTGATCATATTTAAGAAGCCATATCCATATTATCCACCAATTTTATCCGTTTCAAATATGGATCGGATCGAATAATTAATTCGTTTTTAAATTACTCGTTTTGACCCGCTCCCGTTTAACCCCTCTGGTTCCACCTTATGTGAAAGGTAGCATGAACAAAAGAGGTCCAAACATTTTTAAAAATTGTTAGATACAATTTTAGATCAGAGCATGCCAAAACTTGAAAAGAAAAATTATTTCAAAAGGAGGAATTACAGTGGAGGACCAAAAACCACATGAAGGGAAAAAAAAATAGAGTTAAGATTAAGTTTTGGAGCATCCAATAAATGTATGAAAAGTGGTCAAAGGTTGGAGGACCAAAATGGTTGGCTAACCAACTCATATGAACCCACCTTTAATTGACCAAAATGGTTGACTAAGCAACCTTGCCAGCTATAATTCACTAGGTGACATAGGAAATAGACAAAGATCATCTTAAAAAACCTTTTTTTTATAACCATTCCCAATTTAAAAACTTGACTAATTTAAAATTGTATTGTCCATTAGCTCGATTAAATGTGAATTTATCAAGAACTTTTCCATTTTAAGACTTATTCCTAGACTTACTAGCTCACGAAAATATGAATATCAGATGGAATTTAAAATTTTATGATTGAAAAACACCAAACAACGAGGAACGGTCATGATATGCAGAGATGATTCTAGAATTTAAACTCTATGAGTTCAGCCTTCAAGATTCTTAATATTGAACCCGCTATATTTTTAAAGTTATGGGTTCTTAGTAGATCATATCTACTCGTTGTTGCAGTTTTAGTAGATTTTTACACATAAATTATGCACCGCGCTAAAAGATATAGGTTCAGTTGAACCCGTCGGAATTACACTACATCCGTCCCTGATGATGTGAACTACTACACATAAAAATTTAAAAATCAGATGGAATTTCAATTTTATGACCGTAAAACGAAAAAGAAAAAAAGAAAAGGTACGATCACGGCGAAACGATAATATAGTTCCTTAGGTTGTATTTGATGTGTCAGAATCCGAATTTGGGGTTAAGGGCCGGACAAATTAATTCCATAACACACCCTCTTGTGGTGTGGAGAAAACTAAAGACACAGAATTTCAATAAAATGATTGAAAGACCGGTGGGGGAGTTCTATTAAAACTAAGTGGGGAACACAGGCATCTGATGCTCTCTAGTTGCATAGAGAACCACAAACTCTAGTGTGATCATCAAAGCTTGGAAATTTTGATGTTCTCATAATTCATGAAAATATCACATAAATGGCCAAATATGTTTTGCTTCATACACTAGCATATATTCATGTTCAAAAAAAAAAAAGGAAAAAACAACCTCTAGCCTACTATGCTAGTTGATTTTCACACACTAAAAATCAAGAAAATTAGTAACCCTTCTACAAGAACTTGGACCTCACAAACAAAACTAGAGGATAATAACCCAAATTCTTACCAAACCAAAAAGAAAAAACCCAAAACTAGGCAAACAACATCCTCCTCCCTCTAAATATACCTAGTCAAAAATAAGGTCAGAGTTTCTTCACTAGCTTCTAATAATATTATTTTTTTAGTTTTTTTATATTATCTGAGATCATCCATTACTCTCAAATTTCTAAAACACTCTGTACAAACTCTTCAAACCACTTCTTCCTATATACAGAACAAAACCACTACAGTAGAAATACTAGTCTAAAACCTATACTCTCTGAAAATGTTGCCGGGTGCATGTCGGATCCTCCAAAAAAATGTTTGGAGGATCCGACACGGGTGCGGCATCATTTTGGAGAGTCCGCGCAACATAGTCTAAAACTACTATTTCTCTCAAGGGGTAGAACTTGATGCTTCTTGTCTTGGTTCTCTCAAGTATCCCAGTAGAGTTTCTGCCTGAGAAAAAAGAAAAAGACCAAACACCATTAAATTCTTTCTATAACTAGAATAGGATCAAAGTAATACAGCTTGCATCTCTTGTACTAAAAATGCATATGCAGACTAAAACATCAGTGTCACTGAAAGCAACACAGCAGCAGTATTTATTCTATACGTTACTGCAACAAGTACCAGAAAGTTCAAATGATCACATCACCAAAATAAAATGCTCATTTGAAAAGATAGCAACCCACACCATACAACTGTAATCTCCAAAACTTCACTCTCATGCTTTCTTCATCTCTTTCTATTTTCTCCCATACCCATCTCCCAAATCTCAAACATACAAGTTTTGGCTCGCCTCGCGTAGCGCTGTAGCGAGCACTATTTATAACACTGACTCCACACCATATGATTATGATTATAAATTCAAATTTGTCATGGTAACTGATAAAAATTTAATCTTTATTCTAACTTTAAGCCCTTAGTTAACTACTGGCACAAATTAGTTTAAGTTAAAAGCTCTACTCATCAAAAATCATAGAAACTTTCAAACAAATTGTTTCAAGAACAAGAGCTCCTACTGATAAATGTCAATAATTTGAAAGAACTATTGGTTCTTTAATATTACTAATTCCATAAAAATTCAATCTTTAACTAACCACTACTTTAACAACTTCCAAGTGCTAATAATTGATCAAAGATTTTTCCTTTTCTTTTCCAACAACTTCAGTAAACAGTTCTAGTGGTGGATCAAAAACTCAAATCTCACCTGTGCTTAACTTTAGCAGTTCCATAAAACTAATTCTTTAAAAGATCAGTCTTTAACTATACACAGCTACTACTGCTGCTACAAAGTCCTAATAATTGACCAAGAATTTTACTCTCTTTTTTAAGAACTTCAGTAAACAGTTCAAGAGATAGATCAAAAGGCCAGCCCGATGCACTAAAGCTCCCACTATATGCGGAGTCGGGAGGGCCGGACCACAAAGGTCTATTGTATGCAGTCTTATCCTGCATTTCTGCAAGAGGCTGTTTCCCCGGCTTGACCTTCGTCACGTGGAGGCAACTTACCGGCCCTTCTTGTACCAGTTCAAGAGATAGATCAAAAAATTCAAAAACTCACCTTGTGCTTAGCTTTAGCAGTACCATTTTGAGACAAGGCAACAAGAGGAGGAATTCCACCTTCTCTAACAAGAAGCCCTCTGTTTCTAACACTATCCACACAAAGTTGCAAAAGTGTCAACACTGCAAATTCCCTTCCTTTATCAGAACCATCTTCAATAGCTTCAACAAGTGCAGCAATTCCACCTTCTTCAACAATAGCCACTTTTCCCATTTCAATCCCAGCCAATATACTCAACACCACCATAGCTTTTTCAGCTAATCCATTCCCATTTTCACAAACTAGCCCTACTAATGGCTTCACTGCACCTGCAACAATAGCCCTCTCTTTATTTAATTTCACTGAACAAAGCTTATAAAGAGTCGTTAAAGCATCTTTTTTTCCTCTATTTGTTCCATTTATAAGTAGTCCCACTAATGGTGGAATAGCACCACAAGCACCAATTGAAAGCTTATTTTCATCAACTAAAGCTAAGCTTAAAAGCCCACAGGCAGCATTCTGTTTCGACGTGTCAGTCCCGGTTTTGAGCACGTAGATTAATGACTTAATTGCCCCTGATGAAGTGATTAAGGTCTTGTTTGGTTCGTGAAGTGAGAGATTTAACAGTGCTGTTACTGCGTGTTCTTGCGTCCACGGGTCGGTGCACCGAAGAAGTGGGATTAGGACTGGAATTGCACCCGATTCGCCTATTAAAGCCCGATTATCAGCCCGATTCTTCGCTAATAACCTTAATTTAGCTGCCGCTGATCTTTTAACGGCGACTGAAGGAGAATTTAAGCTGTCGACGCAGAGTTTCACCGTCGGTTGAAGATCCTCCGGCGAAATACTCTCGATTATCTCCGTTGAAAATTTCTCTCTTTCTAGAAACCCGAAGCAAGGTTCCGGTTCGGGCTCGTGTTTAGAATTCGGGTTACCCTGATCCGAAACCGGAACACTTGCTAACCGCTGTAACTCTCCAGAGATATCACTACTACAAGCTGAGAAATCACTGAAAGCTTGAGAAAGTTCCAGAAAATCCTCTTCGGAAGTTGAGGATTTATTCGCCTGAGACTTTCTCGAAAGCTCGCCAAGATGAATATCAATGACGGAGTCGGTAAGATTCTCGGAAATAGCACCGGAGTTTTCAGAAACGGAGCCGGAACAATTAGTTGAACGGAAAGTAGTTGATGATCGGATAGTTCTCATGGACCGACCAATTGAACGGTTGAATTTAGCGGCGGAAGATAACGGCGGTGGAGTGTAGTAATAAGGCCGTGTTTGGCCAAAATGGGTAGTACTAGAAACACTATTAACACTATGAGAATGTGAATGAGACTGAGATTCTTCAAGTGAAACCATTTTTTTTTTTTTTTTGAGTTTTGAAGAAACGAGAAAAAATGGAGGATTTTTATAGAAGGAGAAGAAAGGAAGGAGGAGAAGGAGTGGATTTGGTCTATTTGGAGGCTACGATTTTTGATTTTGTGCTAAAGTGACATGCCGTGTGTTGTGTATACCTAATAGCTCATTGTCAAAGCCCGAGGTTAATTTTTAGTACTAATATATAAGGGAGTTAGATAATTTCCTTTTAATTATAATTTTTTTTAAAAATATTTGGAAAATTATTTTTACCATAAGATGTTACGAGTATAGTTTTTATAATTTAAAAATTAATAAAATCAAGTATGTAATTCCTCTAAGCACCGATTCTCCAAACTTTAAAACGAATACTCAACACGAGTTATTAAAATCTCAGAAATTCAGTATAAGTAATGGAGCCTCGATACATGTATTTGAATCACGATGGGTGTACTTAAAACCTTTCTCAAGTCTTAGAACCTCAATATAGATACTTGGCATCTCAACAAGCGTAATTGGATTAGTATGGGCACCCGCTACCTTAGTAGAGGTACTCGAAACATATTCATGTGCAACACGAGATCTCCATTCCTAAACGTGCTCAACGCTGGTACTTCGATCCTTAGTATGGGTACTTGAAACTTTAGCATTGGTTCCCGGGACCCTATCGTGCTTAACACGAGTACTCGATATGTAGCGTGCTCAACACAAGTATTTGAAGGCCCTATATGCGTACTTGGAACCTTTAGCAATGATACTCAATATCCGAGCATGGCTATCGTTACCTACACCTGCTTAGTACGGGTTCTTAGTACCTTGTTGTGTACTTAGAACTTCAACACGAGTTCTCGGATCCTTAGCAATACTTAGAACCTCCGCACAAGTACACGATAGTCCAATATGAGTATTTTATACCTACCGATGCTCAATACTGTATGAGGTGGAATTGATTGATTACAAGTGGTTAGATAGCACGGGGATACGTGGAACCAAGAATAGACAGAAGTTGAGTCGATAAATAATTATTATCAATCACGAAGTACATAACAGATATAGGGTGAATCTCGAAGGAAGCATAATCGATGGCAAATATTCAAAGGCTTGACATCGAGTTACATTAAATGAGCATCCTACAGAGAATATTTGCATTCAAACCAGCCGTTATACACACATCAATGATACTTTTATTCTCATCTATAGAAGAGTTTTATTTTAGGATATTGTCTCCCTAGAAATAACTATAAATATTGACAACTCTTGTAACGGAAGGACATATTCTACATACAAAAACTATAACATATTGTTTCAAATTCAATCGAAAGCATTTATCATTGTTCTACCATTGATACTACTCTTGCTATAGGAAAGACCGAGCTCAGAATCACGTTTGCTATTTTCCATTTAATTTTAATCGCTAATTTTATTATTATTTTATTTTTTTATTATTTTTGAATCAAATCGATTCGCATCTCTATAAATCAAATTACAAATTTAATTATATTATTTTACCGATAAACAACCATAAATACCATATATTCCGACACAACTATTCGATACCGACTCAAATCGAATCACGAACACTCCGGTTTGAAACTTCAGCATGAAACTAAAAGAGAACCCACGTGGAAGGTAGGTGAGATAGAGAAAAAGTATCAAAGGCCTGTGAAATTAGCAAGTTGCTTTTTGCACAGTACGTGTTTGCTTTTTTTTGCTTTGAAAGGACGTCGGTGAAGGGAAATGAGGTGACGTCGTTTCATCTTTTTTAACTCTATTAGTCGCTTTTTAGTTGTCACTTTCATTTTCCCTGGAACAGTTAATTCCATCAATTTTTCAAATGTACCTCCCTACAACAGAGACATGAATAATACGGAATACGTATTTATGAAAACAAATTTATTAAAAAAAAATAATACGTATGGGTATACACTTTTGAAACAGTAAAATAATACCGTAATTTAGAACTTTAGCTTTAATCTTTAAGGTCGTTTGGTTGGAAACAAGATATTTCGGAGTTAGTTATTCTACCCTCTCGTAGGGGTGAACATATTTCGGCCGGAACCGAATAAATCGACCGAACAAAAAAAAATTTTATTTCGGTTTTGGTTATTCGGTTTGTTCGGTCGGTTTCGGTTTAAAATTTTAAAATTTCAGTTTTTTGGTTCGGTTTTCGGTTATTAAGTAATTTAGTTCGATTAACCGAAAAACCAAATTATTAGTATATAGGTTCTTTAAGTTATATATAGGCTAAGCTCATAGGTAATAAATTAACAATAATAGGTCCAATCTATCAAAGACTCAACCCAATTAAGTAAGTCCATCAACTTTCCAATCTTAAAAGACTCGCTCTATAAAAACTTCCATAGCATATATGATAGATACCGGAAGGATTTCACACAGAGTTGTAATTTACACTATGTTTGAATTTTATGATCCATAATAGTGTGCAAAGTTTAGTCTTTTTTTTTTAATAAACATAATATTTCCAACAATGTCGAAGTTTTGGAAAAAAAAAACAAATTCGCCGGTCCTATTATTACATAGAAGGATCCCGATATGATAATGTTCAAACCGAAAACCGAACCGAAATTAGAAAAATCGAACTAAACCGAACTTATTTCAGTTCGGTTTCGGTTACTATTTTTACAAAATCGAAAACCGAATAACCGAACCGAATTTCCTTCAAACCGAACCGACCGAACGTCCACCCATACCCTCTCGTGAGGATAAAAATCAATAACTAATCTCGGAATTAACTATACCATAGTTTTATTTCAACTAGACATGAAATAAAATCATCTCAAATTTAATTTCGAGATTAATTAGTCCTTATTTCTCATACCAAACGAGCCATAAAGACTTATATAATAACCTTCTTGGCAAGGACTGGCAACACCAAACATGGTTTATATATATTGACTATAAAAAATTATTTATACAATCAGATTATTTATATAAAACTTAATAAATTTGTATATAAATATTAATTAATAATCTACTAAAAGACAACATATTAACATTGATAATATACCTAATTATTTAAAATGCCACTTGTTGGGGCCACTGGCAATAGGTCGACGACTGTGAGAGTTGATTTTTATAATTAATTATTTTGATTGACAAAATTTCAAGTTCTTCGCAAATTTACTTTTGGGGAATTTCTTCATGATGCATTATTGAAATATTAATTTATTTTTTTACTTTCAAAAGACAAGTTAAATTTACGGGTAAATCAATTTCTTAGCGCAATTATACTTTAACCCAGTAAAAGTATTTTGCTTTATTTTTCTCCTTAATTAGTTTTGTATCTTTGCTGCGTATAAAGGTATTAAATATATATTTATTCTTTTTCACAATAAAATGTAAAAAGATGTTTAATTTAAATTAAAAACCCACTAAGAAAAGCTCTAAGCTAGAATAAATGAGCAACTAATTCTAGTAAATCCAAAGTTTAATTGTATAAGTATACAGTTAAAATTCTCTATAACTGTCTTATTTATTATGAATATTTTTGGATGTTATAGTTAAGTATTATTATCGAGAACATTTATTATAACGTAACATGAAAATTAGTTCCGCAAAAATTTAACTTTTATAGTGAAATATTTTATAGAGGGGTGCTGTTATAGAGAGGCTTGTTCCGAATATTTATGGATGTTATAACGAATTATTGTTATAGAAAACAGATATTATAACATAACATGAAAATTGGTTCCACAAAAAATTGACTTTTATATTGAAGTATTGTTATATGGAGGTGCTGTTATAGAGAGTTCTAACCGTCATGGGCGAAGCCACATGGTCATAATGATGATCAATTGACCACCATTCGTCGAAAAATTATGCCGTGTATGTGAGTAAAATATTATGTTTTAGAAATATATAATACATATTGAACACTCTTTATCGAAATTTCTTTTCATTTCTTAATAATTTGAGTACGCTAGAAAAAATTTCTAGCTTCGCCGCAGCTGATAATAAATATATATTTCATAACAAATGAAAGTGATTATCCTTTTTTAGAAAGACATTATCATCATATGTTGAAGGCGGACACGTGGATAATTGAGTAGAGAGATAACAAAGTTAAAGGATGACAAATGAGAGAAGAGTAAATTGGGGTTTAATGCTAAGCTTATGCTTTAATAGTATATAATATATATTTTGATTGTTATTTAAATTTTATTGTATCATATAATTATATCATTAAATTTATTATTGTCTAACATCGAAAAGTGCTACCTTAATATCCAACATGGGATAGTTGTGTTGTTACCTTTTTTTTCGTTTCTTATCTTATCCTTCTCTATTATTAAATTAATAATCTTGTTTTATTCTAATTTCTACCTTTGTACATAAATAATTTAGTTTTGTAACCTATAGTTTTTATAATGTTATAAGTTTATTTTTATATTACTGGTGCGTGATATCATGAAACGACGATAGGATAATATAATACAATATATATTCCTTCCGTTTCTGTTTATATTAATCTATTTCCTTTTTGGTCCATTTTAAAAAGAATGACCTCTTTCTAAATTTGGAAACAATTTAGCTTAAACTTACAATTATACCCTTAATAAGAAACTTTTATAACTACACAAATACTCTAGGCCCCTTTTTAACTTGTTTAGGACCGCAAATTCTAAAAATTTTCATTTTTTCTTAAATTCCATGTCCAATCAAATATGTTCGTATAAATTAAAACAGTGAAAGTCAATATAATATATTATGAAACCACGTGTAACCAACACTCAAACTAACTGTAATGATTTTTATTTTATCAAGTTATGAATAAGTTATAGGTTCCATTTTGACCTTCTTCCTCCTGGACGGCCAATTTGGCTCGATATTCAAGATGTACAAACGAGTATAGTACTCCATGCAGGTGAGAGTGTACTGTACTCGTAGTTTTCAGAAATTTGCTTCATTCTGTACACGTGGTTGCAGGCTGGATCCTGCATGGATTGTTGTACCTTTTTTATATATACAAAATAAGTAAATTAATGTAAATTTACTTTAAGACTTAATAACAGTAAGAAAATACTTAGGGATCGTTTGGTACGAGGTATAAG